CTGCACCCTCATCTCCCCCCCATTTCTTTAACTTACCTTCCTCTTTGCCTTCTTGACTGCTCTCCGCCTCTCCACTTTCCTGTGGATCTTTCGCATCTCCCCCCTATGGATCGTAATCTCCTCCCCCAAGGCTTAGCGACCGCCCAAACTTGGGACCCCACTCCCCCGGATTCTGACTCCCTCTCTTTCATGCTGGCCCCTCTCCTCTCTTACACCCTCCTCCTTGTTCGTTTCACCAGAGTAAACTCCCTTCACTTCACCTGGCTCTCTTACCATTCCACCCTTATCGCCACCCTTTCCTCCGTCCAGACCTACCATTTACCTCGCTTACCTCCCCTCCCCTACTCTGCCCATCCTTGTGCCTTTCCACTCTGACACCCAACAGGCTTTCAGCTTGCCTGTCTATCCCCCCTACCCTTATCAGGAGCCCTTTCCTCTTCTGGACTCTCCCCCTGTTGATTTGAACTTCCCCCATCCTCTCTCGAGGAGTCCCCTTGTGCTTTCTACCTCTCAGGTGTCTGAGCCGTTTCAGCACCTGGCCCACCTCCCGAACCTCTCCCCCCCTTACCCCTTGACCTCTATCCTTCTTTTAGCCCTGAGTCAGCCACAACTATTCGGGGTTTTCTCCGGTCACACTAGTTAGCCTAATCCCTTTACCCCACCTGTCGTTGAAGGTCCTAGCCATAGCAACGATGAGGAAGCTGTCGCCAGGAACTCTAACATCGAAGACAAGATGAAAGAGATGTACAACATCATGGGTTTTCACCATGATGGCCCAAAAGGTCCAAGCCACAAGTTCATTACCGCAGACGCGCACAACAGACTCAAGGTATGACCCAAAGGTCATAGAGAACTTCTTAGCCTTTTCCCCTCCCCCCCTTTCCAGGACAAGCCTTCCCGTGACTCCCCTGCTTTCTTCCCATCTTCTTCCCCAAGAGGTCATCCAGACTGGCCTTATCCCCACCCCCATCATCCTCTCTATGAAGATAGTGACCTGGAACATTAGGGGACTGGGTCACCAGTCAAAGAAGCATGCGGTCCGAAACCTTTCTCTCAAGTACTCCCCCTCGGTTCTGGCCCTTATAGAAACCAAACAACCTGAACCTAATCAGCAGACCGTCTGCCTTATTTGGGGTTTTAGTCCTTCCCAGTGGGTGGCTCTAACAGCCGAGGGAGCGTAAGGAGGAATTTGGGTCATATGGAACCCACAAGAACACAATCTCATCTCCTCTCATGTGGGAGACTTCTCGGTTACCATCCTCCTCTCCACCGTGTCTAATGGTTCTTCTTGGAAATTCTCGGCCGTTTATGGCCCAAATTCTTCCTCCCTCATACAGAGTTTTTGGGCTGAATTGGACCACGTTGCAGCTCTCCCTCACCCTACCTGGTGCCTAGGAGGAGATTTCAAGATGGTCCCATGAATGTAACACCTCATCCTCCATTTCTCGGGACATGAGGGATTTTTCGGACTTTATTAACGGGAACGCCCTCATGGACATTCCTTTCCAAGGCAGCCTATTCACGTGGTTTAACCACTCTTCGAGCCCCTCCCTCTCTAAACTTGACCGTTTCCCCTTCTCTACTGATTGGGATCTTCATTTCCCGTAGTCTCAAGCCTTATCACTACCCAAACCCATCTCTGACCACTGCTCCATTCTCCTTAATACTCCATTCTCCTTAATACTAATGCCATCCTAAGAGGCCCTAAACCTTTTAGGTTTGAACTCCTTTGGCTGGAAGAACCATCTCTCCTTCCCAATATGCTTTTATCCAAGAGAGGCAGATTTTGGATGGGGGGATGGGGTCTTGGTAGCCAATGAGTGTCTCCACTCCAGACACCTAGCTAAGAAACCAGGTTTAATCTTCAAAATACATTGGGAGAAAGCCTACGATCACGTAGACTGGGCTATGTTGGAGGAAACCATGTCACGGATGGGCTTCAGAGATCGTTGGAGGAGGTGGATGAGGGGATGTTACTCCAACCCCCATTTATCCATTATCCTTAACGGATCACCGAAAGGGTTCTTCCCGGCTCACTGGGGACTTCGTCCCCTTATCTCCCTTCCTCCTTGCTGTAGCTGCGGAAGTGTTCTCAAGATCCCTCACTCGCCTCTATCAGTTCGGCCTTTTATCTGGCTTCACCACCAGCAACCAGGGTCCCCTCATGTCACATCTGCAATACGCAGGCGACACCCTGGTTTTTCTTGATGCCACACGAGAGGAAATCAACACCCTCAAACTTTTTCTTAAGTGCTTCTCGACAGCTACTAGGTTCAAAGTCAGTATGAGCAAATCTAAAATGATGGGAGTCGCCCTGTCTCCTGACCAGGTGACTGCCCTTAGTCCAGACTGGGAATGCAAAGTGGAAGATCTCCCCTCCACTTACCTGGGTCTCCCTCAGGGACTTGGGAAACCCAAAAAAAGGCTTTGGTCCCAGGTCCTCGACAAAATTGAGAGACGCCTTTCTACCTGGAAAGGCAGGTACCTCTCACCTACGGGTAGAGTTGCCCTGATTAAGGCCACCTTGGCAAATACCTCAGTTTATCTTATGTCCCTTTTCCAGATGCCGGCACCGGTGGCCAACCGCATAGAACAACTTATGTGGAACTTCCTTTGGTCTGGCCAAGCAGATAAGACTAAATTTCATCTGGTAGCCTGGGATAACACATGCCTACCAAGAAAGCAAGGGGGCTTAGGGATTCGAATCCTCAGAAAGCATAACACAACTCTTTTAGATAAATGGTGGTGGTGCCTGCTCTCTGGGCTCAAATTTTGCACAAAAAATACAGAATCCACGAGGATATTTGGGTACTAGAGACCATCCAAAAACAGAGGGCGTCTGGTGTATGGCTATCTCTAGCTTCTTCTCACCTTTGTTCAGAAGACGCATTAGATTCCACGCTAGAGTTGGCAACAGAGTCGAATTCTGGAAGGACCTCTGGTTGGGTACTTCACCTTTGTGCAAGGCCTTCCCTTACCTTTTTTACCTCTCCTCTGATGACAACTCCATTGTTGCTGATGAACTGCCTATTGTTGATGGCAGAAGATCTTAGTGCCCTTTATTCCGCATAACCTTTTCTGAGGATGAGTGCACTCATTTCCTTCGTCTACTGGGTACCTTATCCTCCCACTTCCTCCCCTATTCCGGCAGCGACTCTTTGGTTTGGAGCCTATCCCCTTCAGGCCTTTTTTCTGTAACCTCTTTCTACAAAGCCCTCATTCAACCTCCAACCTTTGCCCTCAACCCCACCTCGATCTTGTCGAAATGTGGTCACACCATAGCTGCACCAAAGATCCAGTTCTTTTGTTGGATCGCATGCTCCCATAGAGCCCTTACAGTCGACCAACTTCAAAGGAGAGGTCTCTCCTTACCAAATAGTTGTAAACTTTGCCTCAGTGAGGAGGAATCCAACTGTCATCTGTTCATTCTCTGCGACTATTCCGGCCAACTGTGGTCTCTTTTACTCCAACTCTTTGGCCTCCAATGGGTTACCCCACCCACTGTCAAAGCCCTCATCACCTACAACTTCGATTCTCAATGGCCTTTGGCTGGGAAGTTATCTGGTCTCTATGGCTGGAAAGGAACAATAGGATTTTCAATGGTGATCAGCTCCAACTGTCGGCCCCTTTTCACAAGATAGTCTCGTTAACCACTTTCTGGGCTTCTCATCATAAAGCCTTTTCGGGCAATCCCAGGAACATTTTCTTCCCTCATTGGCAAAACATTCTCTACCATAGACCTCCCAAACCCCCAAGAATCAGCAGGAGGAGACCCCCACCAGTGGGCAGCATCAAGCTGAATTTTGATGGCTGTTCTTTAGGCAACCTGGGTCCCTCAGGTGCAAGGGGTGTGTTCAGAGATAGCCAGGGCTTAGTCATCTTCTCTCTTTCGGCCCATCTAGGGACTTTCGATTCCCAATATACAGAAGCCATGGATCTCCCACTGGGCTTGAGAAACTTTAAACTTTCATGGGGCTCCTCACTGATAGTGGAAGGAGACACTTCTAGCACAATGTCCTGGGCTAGAGGCTTGTCCCCCCCTCCTTGGCATTGTCCTCAATCTTTGATGAAATTTCATATTTATGCAGGGATACCAGCGTCTTATGGCTGCATACTACTGGCGAAGGAGGGAGCTAGTTTGTGTTTGGACTCCCTGGCTAGGTCCAACTCCTTTTTTGTTCAGGACCTAAGCTGTACTGACCTTTAGACTGGGTCTAACTCCTTTTTTGTTCAGGATCTCTACAGTACAGTATACCACCTCTCTTTTTTGAGCAAGTCACTGCGCAGTTTTTTGTATATCTCATGGTATATCTTGTAGGATGGGTGCTTCTTATATGCCTTTACTGATCTTGGAAGACTAATGCTTTAATGTATTTTTTACTGTTAGTCATCATGGGAGGGTGTGCTCTCAGTCTTATCTCATGTAAACTCCCATAGTAATACAATGTTAACCTTTCTCAAAAAAAAAAAAACAAATGAAAATCTTGAAAATTGACGGTCTAGATAATGCGTTGCAAGATGCACTATTTTTGGGACTCAAAATCTTTTTTTTTTCATAGTCATACATCTCGTTGTCGAGATGATCAATTAGAGGGTTTTTCAACATTAGAAAACCTTTTCCGATAGATTTTTGTGGTGCATCCATAATTCTACATTTTAAGGTTGCAACCTTATATAAACTTTTTCCATATTTAAATATATGTTTTTTATTTTTTGGTCGGGTCCAATCGTGGACCCGACACGACCCATTGCCACCCCTAGCTTTACGCTTTGTTCTAATAATTTAACCTCCAGCATCAATTCGTTTCTCTCTTTTGCCATTGTTGTTTACTATGTTTTTCCCAATGTATATTCCTTTCTCAACTGCTTATTGAATAAAGCATTCTTATAAAAACATTTCCTTTATTTTTATGTTGATATATGTTGAATACTGATTTCCTTTTCTATAGTTGCCAGAACTTGTTTTAATTTGATGGTTTCTATGATGATGGCAATTTTAGGGGGCAAATGGAAACTACTCAAACAAATTTATGACATATCATGCTGAAAAGCTGCACAAGGTGAATGTCACTGCTCCTTATAAATTGCATCCTTTTTGGGGGAAAAACCTAAAAGAATGCCTGGAACACATGCATAAATTAAGCAGGTGCTCCGGAAACCTGGAATCTCAAAAAATTCCTAAGGTATTTTCAACATCAAAAGCTGCATGGATACGTCCTTTCTTCTTCAATATCTTGTCCCCTGTCCAGTATATGAAACACCCACAATTGAGGGTATTTTAGTGAAATATAGTTTGTATATGTGATGCATTTTACTCGCTACCCTTGTTCTGGTGTTTCAAACACTGGACAAAGGGTTAGATAGTCATTTGCAAAAATGACTAGTTCTTGAGGTACCAAATTTTGAGCTCCTGCGCAGTATTTGCAATGTTCCAGGTCATATTTTGTTTCCCTTCCCCTTGGGGAGCCCCCAGCAAACACATGCAATTCTAATATCCTCTTTCCATCAATGCAGGATGCAACAAGGGGTAATGGTCAGTAGTCCTCTTAGCTTCTCAAAAGTTCCTTCTTTTGTTCCTTATCAATGGGTTTTTTTTCTTTGTACGAATGATTGAATTTATCTTCAATAAAAAGGTAATGGCAGGTAAAAAGAAAATAAATTAATCTTTTTTATGAGCAATTGATTTCATTTAATGTTCCCTACAACATGTCACCATTACAAAACAAAGGCGCAAGTTGGAAAAAGTTTCCAAGCTTCGTTAGAGAGCAAAACATTGTGGCCTTATGCTATTATATTGCATGTTTACTCCCTCATCTGAATGCTAATTTTAGGAATACTCTATGTTTGTGCATGCGTGTGCATGTGTGTGTGAGAGAGAAATACTTAGATTTGAACTTTCAATATGTATTATATACCTGGGGAGGCATTAAACTTATTATGTAAAGGGAAAATTATAAATACCCCTCCAAAATAAACTTTGCACATATCCTACCCTCAAATACTTTTAGTATCACACCTTAAACTCCAACACTATTTTTTCTTATATTTGTTCCTGCAGTAAAAAAGTCAAAAAAATTTAGATTAAATTACCCTTTTATTCTTTTACCCACCCTTTCTTTCTCTCTTTTTACCTGCCTCTCTCTCTCTACCCCCTTTACCCACCCTCTCTCACTCTCTCTACCTGCCCTCTCTTATTCTCTCTCTACCCGCCATCTCTTTCTTCTCTCTACCTCTCTCTCTCTCTCCACCCACCCTCACTTAATCTTCTCTCTCTACTACCTCTCTCTCTCTCTCTCTACCTGCCCTCTCTCTCAAACCTCGGGATTTTTCCAGCGAGTCTATTACTTAAGAGGTCAATTTCAATAAAATGGTGACACCCACTATCCTCCATTAATTTCCTCTCACTACAAGCAACATTTCTGCCTCCTGCTAATGTACATCCCCCTTTCACTCTCTAGAATTATAGTGGCTTCCCTCCAGGTCTTTTGGCCTCGATTTAGCTGAATCCCATTATCAGACGTTGAATATTACTGGTCCTTAATTAGAAGCAAACAGCACACCTCAAAAATTTTCAGTTTGTTTCCGCCAAATGGGGGCCTTGGGACGCTGGTTGGCTGGATATGGTTGTCGCGAGGAAACCAGCTGGTTGGCCAGAAATGGTGCTCAGTGCCTCAAGAGTAGGGATCTTGGCCGCCGGAAAACCACCCGTGCTATTATTCTTCTGGCTGGGAATGTATGCCGAAGAGAGAGAAAACCAGCTGGTTGGCCGGAAATGGTGCGCGATGCCCCAAGAGTAGGGATCTTGGCCACCGAAAAACCAGTGCTATTATTCTTCTAGCCGGGCAGGAAAGCCGAAGAGAAAGAAAACCAGCCAGTTGGCCAGAAATGGTGCTCGGTGATCTTGGCTGCCGGGAAACCACCTGTGCTATTAGGAAATGAGGCGGCTGCCTTTCCTAATCCTCCACGTGCAGAGAGAGAGAGAGAGCGAGAGAGAGAGAGAGAGAGAGAGAGAGAGAGAGAGAGAGAGAGAGAGAGAAG